ATGCCTACTGCTTTGACTTGTGCCCAGATTGTCCTTATCCCTAAAATTCCAGTTCCTGAAAATTTTAGTCATTTTAGACCTATATGTCTTTCAAATTTCATGAATAAAGTGTGTACTAGAATCATTACCTCCAGATTGCAGCCTATTATGAATCAGGTTATTTCTCAGGAACAGATTGGTTTCCTTCAAGGCAAAGATATTCATCAGCACATTATGCTTGCTAAGGAACTTATCCATGCTCTGGATAAGAAAATTAGAGGAAATAATGTTGCAGTCAAGCTGGATATGACCAAGGCTTTTGATAGAGTTTCTTGGTGTTTTTTGGAAAAAGTTCTTGTTAAATTTGGCTTTCAAAGATCATTTATTGATATTATTCTATCAAATCTTAGGAGTACCCATTTGTCTGTACTGGTCAATGGTCAAGTTCATGGGTTTTTTCAACCCTTTAGAGGGGTAAAGCAAGGAGATCCCTTGTCACCCTTTCTTTTCATCTTGGTTTCAGAATGTTTCTCTAGGGGAATAAATGCTCTCATTGAAAAGAGGAAAATTGGGGCTTATCAGGTTGCAAGGGGATTACCTATTATATCCCATCTTGCCTTTGCAGATGATCTGCTTGTCTTTGCAAATGGCTCTTTTAGATCTTTGAAAGCTTTATCTGAGTTCCTCCAGCAATATGAAATGGCTTCTGGACAAATGGTCAATCTACAGAAGAGTTGTCTTATTATATCCAAAAAAGTTTCAAATGCTAGGCAGAACATTATGGAAAATGCTTTAAACATGCAGGCAACTCATCTTCCTTTCAAATACTTGGGGGTTCAAATACATAAAGGCATTACCAGGGCTAGGCATTGTAACCATCTGGTGGAACATTTCGAAACTAAACTTAGCTCTTGGAAAAAGAAGTTCTTGAATCAGAGTGGTCGTTTGATCTTAATCAAACATGTTTTGTCTTTTATACCAATTCATCATCTAGCTGCAACTACAATACCAAGATCAGTTCAAAATATTTTGAATAGGCTGATGGCTCAATTTTTTTGGGGAAGTTCAGATAATAAGCAAAAATATCATTGGGCAAATTGGGGAAAGATTTCCAAACCCACTGGTGAGGGTGGTTTAAATGTCCGTTCTTTATCTGATGTTCAAGATGCTTTTCATCTTAAAGCCTGGTGGGCTTGGAAGGAAGGGACTTCTTTATGGTCAAACTATATGCATTACAAGTATGATAGAACTGACATGAGACCTAGGCTTCAAGACTCTCCTATATGGAAACAATTATGCAAATTCAATGAATTGGGTGAGGATAACATTGAAATTGATGACAATCAGAGAGTTATTTGGAAACCTGATTCACATGGAGTTTTTACTCTTGCATCTGCCTATGACTTGGTTAGAGACTCCTCTCCTACAAGGTTTTCTTTTCAACAAGCGTGGAATACTCATCAAAATCTGAAGATCAAGCTTTTTCTTTGGAAACTCCTCAGTAATTTTCTAACGTTTCCTGAAAATCTCAGAAGGTTCTCCATTCAACTGGCCACTCAATGCCCAATCTGTCTCATTGCAGAACAATCCCAGTCCCATTGCCTCTATTCCTGTACCAAAGTAAGACAAATATGGGATTATTTCATGGGTATCTTTGCTATAAACAAAACTGACAATCCTAATATTCGCCAAATGTTCTTTTGCTGGTGGCTCTCAGCAAAAGGAAACACTTTAGATAGCATTCTGAAAACCAATTTACCAGGAATTATAACTTGGTATATTTGGAAAGCCTACAATGAACTGATTTGGGATAAAAAGCAGTTTGAAGTTGGATCTATTATCTTTAGAATAAAAGAATATTGTCAAAACTGGATTGCTACTTTGCCTAAGAAGGTCCTTAATGATGACACCCTTGAACTCATCAAAGATGGTTTTATGGCTGAGTCTACTACAAGAAATAAGATTAAGGTGCTTATCTGGAGGAACAATCATCCTTATAGATTGAGGATGTCTGTTGATGCAGCTTTCTGTAATGGGAAGTGTGCTGGTGGTGGAATCCTTCGTGATGATTTGGGAAATCTCATTGCTGCTTTCTCCTCCCCGATTCGCGCTAAGACAGTGCTCCAGGCAGAGCTTATTACTACTCTTACAGCCCTTCATTGGTGTGAGAGATCTGGTTTTTCGGATTTCCAATTGGAAACTGACTCAGAAATGACGATGAGGCTCTTGAGGAAGGAAGCTATTGCTCCGGTCTATCTCCAAAACTTGATTGAGGAAGCTCAGCAGATATGTCGATCCCTTGATGCTCGCATTATCCATATCTACAGGGAGATGAACGGGGTTGCACATGCTCTTTCCCATTTCGGTCTTCATCTGGCTGATTTTAGAAACTTTACCCATTCATTTCCTATTCCTTTAGAAATTAATGCTTTAATCAATATTGATAAAATGTCTATTCCTTCTTTTAGGAATTAATTCTTTTTATTGTATTCTTTCGCTTTTTGAAAATTTGGGTCAGGTCTAGCCCCCTCAAATTTTCGTCTTTTATTTTCCTTATCTTTTACTGTATTTTTTGGAGGTATGCCTCCAGAGAGGTTTTGGTTTGGTCCCCCTCTCATTTTGTATTTATCTTATTTTTAATAAAACCTGACAAACGTTCCCCGGCGTTTGCCCCACTGATTTTGGTGGTTTGCCTACCGGGTTCAAAAAAAAAAAAAAAAAAAAATGAATCACATTAACCCATTTCCACGAAGAAGACCCCCTTTTAACCAATAATCGAGACTTTTTTCTTTTTTCATTTTTTTTTACTTTTTTATTTTTCTTTCCTTCTGATAGATCGTCCATCCCTCACAGGGTAATAGCAAAAAGGTATATTACGGTACCTTAAGTAAGGTTTATCTTCGCCACTTCGAACTAGGGCTGACATTTTAAACCGAAAAACTGAAAACCGAATCGAAAAAAACTGAACCGAGCAATAAAAAAACCGAACCGAAACCGAACCGACCAAAACGAGACCCGAATATGAATCGGTTCGGAACCGGTTCTTTGAGATTGAAAATCGGTTCAAACCGAACCGAACCGACTTTAATTAATTGTTATTTATTTAATAGTATTCCGCGTCTAAATAGATAATAAATATACTCCGAGTCCTTAAATTTACAACTTGTTGTAGTGGCATAGTGGTATGGGGAAGGGAATTCCCTCTGCGCATCATTTTTCAACCACCCGGGTTTGATTCCCGTCGCAACGCTTTCCCATTTAATTTTTCCTAAGCCTTAGAAATGTTCCCACACCGGATGAAATGGAGATCTACTCCTCCCGTGTTCCTATATATCCGGCCTTTGGGCTGAGATTTGAAATAGGTGGTAAAGGCACTGCTTTGTTGCCACTATTTAGTCAATAATTTAAATTCTTTCATTTTTTCCTTAAACCGAGAAACCGACCCGAAATTTTTGTATCCGAAAAATCGGGTTCTATAATAATCGGTTCGGTTACGGGTTGGAAAATTTGAGAAACTGAAAATTCAGTTCGGTTTAAATTTTTTGTATATTGGTTCGGAACCCGAACCGAATCCCCCCTACTTCGAATGCAAACATTTTCTTATTTTCACATGAGAAGTTCTCGTCCTCATTCTTTGGGCATCGTTTAGCTTCAAACAGATGCATTGTCGTAGAAGATTCCATGTTTTAGTGTGGTTTGGTTCAAACAATCTTCATACAATCCCGATTTCTATCATGGTAAAGCAGGGGTTAACCCAATTTAGTTGTCTAGCCGTCTGTTTGAATTGGAAGTGGCCAATTGCTAGATACAAAATGGCTCAATTGTCCACGAAGGGGAGAATTAGAGATTCACATTTAAGAAACTAAAAAGAGAGAACCGAGGTGAATTAGACTTTGAGTTGAGATTCCTATTAGCTTTCCAACTCTAAGATATTGTTTGCTAGGCTTGTTTAACCAGTCAAGTTCCCTTCCGAGCCAGGGACGACTTTGCTGATTAATTTATTTCTGACCACAGACCTGCGGCACGATAGAAGAGGGTGGGAGACGAACGACCTGTATAGAAGTAGGAAAGAGAAAACAAAACACTAAAGAAAAAAATGGAAAGGGAAAGCAATCACATTTACCGGCTAAAAAGAGTCTTCTTCCTGTAAAATGGGTTAATGTGTTTCCTTTTATATAGTAGACATGTCTATGTGATGCTTTTCTAAGTAGATGGATCTAAATGATGGTATTACAATTGTACAAGAGTGTATGCGACCGTTTTCCCCAATCTAAATTGCAAAACTAATAAACCGAAGAAAGTGGCAATCAACCTCTTAAAGTTAAATGAAGCTAAAAACCTTGACAAGTTAAAATAGTCAAATGAACTAACACCCATATTTAAGAGTTATGACCTCCCGCATGTGAGGTCTTAAATTTAAGTTAACATGAATTTGAGAGAGTTTTTTCAAATAACGATCCTCACTAGTGATGAGAAACTCGTATTTAAGATCATTGTTTCAATTCTTTTTTAAATAATGTGAAACTCGTATACAAATAATGTGAGAGTTAATTTCTTGCTGAAAACTTGACGATGGACAACTAGGGATGAGAATTTGATAAAGATAGAAATAATTACATAAATATGATCAAAATAAAGATGGTTTACAAAAATATGACTCATTACTAGAGTAGTAATGAAATCATAGTAATTCATGTTCAAGTTTTGAACTTAAGTTACTACAATACTACATTGTAGTAATGAATAGTCATATTTATGTAAATAAGTTTTATTTTAGTAATATTCTTGTAAAAAAATCCGTAAAGATAACGTGGAAATGATGAGAAGAATTTAACAAATGATTCGAGCAACTTAGATTTACACGTTTAGATGATCCGTGACCTTAACAAAAAAATGAAGTTGAAAACCTCATTCAAAATTTCATACTTGTAGGAAGCCCAAAATTGAAATTTAATAGCCCAAACGGGTAACGTCCCGTTCAAAACAACAGTCAGGGAAAATTACACGCAGCACATTAAATCGGGTAAGATAAATCGTCAGGTTAATTATCCGTATTTTCAAATTTTGCAGAAATCTTTGATCCCTCCGCCAAGTTATCTTCTTCACCATTACCAAATTCAAACTCTGTCTGACGACTGCTGCCACCGCTGAGCTCTGTTTTGTGCCATTAATGCGTTGAGAATTCACACCGATGGCGACATCGGCTTTCAAATCGACGACCAAAAGAGCTCCCATCGGCGGCTCCGCCGAGGTCTCCTCCTCCAGCTCATCCTCCGGGAACCGAGCTGCTCGCCGGTCGAGGAGTCTCAGTCGGTTCTCACGTAGGCTCCCGTTCGGTGAAGAACCGGCAGAGGCTGCTGCGAGCTCAGGTTTTGAGCCCACTCCCAGGCGGAGGTTCGTGAATACTGCCAGAGGCTCTGTGTTCCCTGAGATCAGCCTGGATGATCTCGCGCAGGAGTTTTTTTGCCGAAAGGATGAAGAGATAGATAGCAGTGATCCTGACCGCACTCGCTCTGCTAGACGCGGCTCGGACATTGGTCGTTGGGCAAGTGAAACGGCGTCATCTCAAAGGCGTGGGAGGTCAGTCTCCAGGCAGAGCTCGAGCTCGAAGACTAGTGGAGACAGAAAGAGTGTTGTCTCTGATCGTTCACGAGTCAACACCGGACTTTCCGAGAGTAACTCGAGGAGGCGGCGGTCCGTTTCATCAGTTCGATTTCAGATTAGCGACTCCGAGGTGAGGTCATTTGAAATAATTGTCCACTGAAAATTTCTTAAATTTGACCACTGTGCATTTCTTGGTACATATTTGGGCATAGATGAATATCATTAGTTTAACGAAGAAGGTCATTCGATTGAAGAATAAGACCATAGTGACATGTACGGATAAACCCAATGTTTTAGTCTTATATGGGTAGATTAGTCAGTTTTTTTTCTTCATAGAGTTTGAATTTCATTCTATGCTTAAAAACTAGGTACATCATGTATAACTAGAAGTCTAAAACCAGAACATATCTAGCCAAAAGAGCCTGAACATAGATCATTTTGAATTAGCAATGTTGCAAAGCTCAATGACGGTTACACTACCTAATTACCTAAGTAGACAAATTGCACTGCATTTGAAAATTTTCCTGATTATCAAGTGTTTTACATTGTAAAGAAATTATGCCAAAGGGGAATCGACTTAAAAATTTTAAAAAAAAACTGTGCAAAGATCTGAGTAAGTGAGTATACTTCTGTTATTTAACCTGTTGCTGCCACATTCGACAAAACAACCATTACTAACCTTTATCACCTATAACTTAAGCCCTTAGTCCCTCATACCAAAATTACAGCCATCCTCATCATAGCTTCCACCAAACACATCGTCATCCTGTCAATGCAGCTGTCAGCGGCAACAACTTTATCGGTCTTTGTCAAACTATATTCTACTACCACTGCTGATATCGCAACACCACATCCATTAGAGATTTGCCTGCATCATCTTTACATTACCATTCCATCAATGATGCCGTTATAACGTTATTGCGATCACCATCGCGCCACCTGCTGCTATTAATAACATAATTACCCTACTATAATAGCCGCCACCCCTATACTGCCCACAACCAATTAACCAAACCATCAGGTCCACCACACCACCTGCCGCTATTGATCATAATTACCCTACTATAGCCGCTGCCACCCCTACTCCTGCCTACAACAAAAAACCGTCACACTTGCTACCAATGTTGTTATTGTCACCAACTCACCATTAATTACCATCATGGTCACACATCGTTATTGAATAAAAAATTAGCGTGCTGATTGAGGGTCAAATTTCCAGCTGAGTGTGCTTTTGCTGCTCAAACTTAAACCCATCAATTGATCGTGATCAATGGTTACCGGCAGTGACGATAATTTGAAAGTTATAATGGTGATCAATGGTTGTCATGGAAAATAATGGCGGAGGTAGGAACCATAGTTGCCATTTATGATTACTTGTAATTTGGAAAGAAGATAACCTTTTTTAAAAACTTCCCAAATATGTTTTCTAGTTGTAAGGAAATTTGAAAGTTATAGAACAACTTTCTATCTTCTAAATTTCGAAATATGGAAAAGTAAATATGTTTTCAATTTTCCAATCTCTAGTTTCATTGATAATGGAAAGAAGGAAATATTTTCTACTTGGTATGCAATCACATGGAGCCCGTTTGATGACCTTGTTGTTCAGCTTATCAGCGTTATCAACCAATCTTTTCACCAAACACGTAACTTTTGATTTCGTGCGCTGAGTTGTGTAATAATCAAAATAAGTAAGGTTGGGGTTACTTTTCCGACTGTATTGGCTGAAGTTACTGTAGAAGATCATTTTAGCTATTTTTCAAATAATTTTTTCTTTATTTAATAAATAAAATACGAAGTATATTTTAAATACAATTTTCTTATAATTCAACAGAATTAGCCGATACAGCATTTCAGCCAGAACTTCATAAATTTCAGCAAAATTAGCCGATACACCATTTCAGCCAGAACTTCATAAATTTCAGCAGAATTAGCCGATTCAGGTTATTTAAGTGTTACTAAACGGGCTCATAGTTTCTAGAAACTTATATAGCTGTTTTCACAAGTCCAAAGTAAGAAGTTCAAAAAAATTATAAAATAAATAACAACATAAGGTGACCTACGTGCTCGGAGGTGGTCTGCTATGGTGTTGTGCCACCTGACTTACACTTGACTGTTTTAAAACCTGGGTTCAGTAAAGCTGTGAACACCTTTGCAGTCAGTTTTAACTCGATCTAGAAACTCTAATTATTTCAGTAATGTCATTGTTTTGCAGTACAGCCAATACATAATGACCTAGTATTGATATTGTTTTCATATCTATAAGATCACAAAACTTCAGTTTGCAGGGAACTTTGTTTTACCATTGTTTTTCAGATTGCTCTCATGAGAATATATCCTTAGAACTATTTGCTGCCATTCAATTGTGTGGTATTAGTGATAAAATTTACCAAGTTCTACCAAGTTTATAAAACCAATTGACAAGGCCTACACAGTTTTAACTTTCGTTCGATCCCACATTCTTAACTACCACTTGCACATCAGAGAAGTCATCTTGTTAATATGTTCTTTACTCAAGGTTAAGTAAACCCTTGATCTGCAACAAAAAAGGCAGGTTTTTAAACGTGTTTTCCTGTTTGGTTAAACTGAGTCCGCTCTTGCATAGCTGTGCAGAATGTGTGAATTTAATCTTCTATCTTATATCATTGTGTTTCTTTATCTCACTTCTTTCATCATTATTGCTATCATGACCAGGCATTTATTTGTACTCGTAGTTGTCTTGGTGTCAACTAGGTGGCACTTAGGCCTTCTGGCAAGTGGAGTGCAGTTTGCCTTGCCTGAAGAGCGAGGGACATTTAATGGTGTCACTTAGACGTCAACTAGGCATTCTTTGTGATACCTGGAATTGTTTTTTTTTCCAAATCGAATTTGACCCAGCTAGCCATCTGTTTTTGCGTAATTTAAGTAGCCTAATTGAGAAAGAAAAACCTAGAGATTAATGCTGATGCGGCAGGGAATCTGTTCTCTCCTCCTATGATAGGGGTTCTCTTCTCCTATGATAGGGGAAGACTGTTGCAGGGAATACATCCGAAATTAACAATTAAATCAGGTAGGATTTAATAAAATGGACATTAGAGAGAGCGAGAGCGAAGTACCGGTGGTATAACAGATTATTATGTTAACAAAATGGACATTTCATATATGAAATATATGTTGTACCGGCTTACATGATCTGCTTATAACCTGGGGCTAAAATGACTTAATTGTCCATAATTGGCACTAAATTCAAACTTTCCAAATTTTAATGTCATGGTATACCTCATTGAGGTTCAGAAGATGCTTATACGTTCTTTTGGTGCATTTCTCTACTGCCTCAAAATGTATGGAGCAATTGTGCATATTTGAAATAGATTAATTGCAAAAGAAAATAAATAGTTAAAAGATAAATGTGTATATTGAGTACAAAGGCTTGATCAGTTTGTCTCTAATTTAACTGCAAGTGACCCGTAGCTATCTAGGTGAAGTGTATACGAAGTACATTGGAAGTATGAATAATAGCACTCTGGGAGTCCATTTTAGGAAGGGAGATAAGGAAAGCAAAGTGAACATGTTTTTATCCTCAATATTGTTCAGAACATTGAGTTCTTAAACATGACTTATTCTGAAAAAACAAATTTCAATTATAAGTTGATACTTACTAACATCCCTTGTGTCTTCCCCTCTAGCAAAGGAGATACACTCTTTGACAAAAGATTATATTTATTGCATGACAGAGTGATGCAGATCATTCTCGCAAACAAGAAATTACTATCAAGAGTCTCGGCAATACAAACCATGTGATTTCTTCACACAAAACAATAGCTGCTAACAGTGCACGACCAAGAAGGCCAATGAACCAAAAAGAGCTTTCACGTTTACATGATGGTTACTCTGTAAGAACTAAGAACTGAGTACTTTATTAGATGTTATAATGCAAGCTTTTAACCACAATTAGCTGACCTTTTGAAATATCACAGCTGACAAAACTCTTATCATATAATGTCATCCCTTGAATATCAATATCCACCTTCCTACATAATCATGGATCCAATTTCAGCTTTGTTTCCTTTCAGAGTCACTCTTCTGTCCTAACAGATGATGATTTGAAGAACCATCCTGATAAAAATGTGAATGAGAAAATCATTCGAGCTGTTTATTCCCAGAAACAGGTTAGGAGAGTCCAATTTACAGACAGTGGTGTATGACTGTATGGTGCGTCTTTGGCTTATTTGTTTGTTTCACAGGCGGAGCACCCTACTGAAGATGACATAAATAGTGGGTTATATGAAGCAATGAAGAAAGGACTTAGATACGCTGTTGAAGAAATCAAAGTTGAACTTGAACAGGTCTGGTTCAATATGACACTTGACTAAATAATGTTTTTCAAACGGAACTACACTTGCCAGAGTAGAGATCTGGTTTACCTGAACTTCCGCCTGGCCAAGCCTGTTTGAGGGCCTTCCGGGTGGAATTTTTTTGATGAAATTTATTAAGCATGTTCTTCATCAAGTGTAGATTATCTCCACAAAATTTCAGCTTAACACTCAATCAGGAGTCAGTTAAATAAATTATGGAAAAACACCGCGCTTTATATATGTAGATAAAGCACAATGTTTTTCAATAATTCATTTAATTGACTTCCCGATTGATTTTTAAGCTGAAATTTTGTGTGAATGTCCGTACTTCATGAAGAACATGCTCAATAAAATTCAACAAAAAACTCCACCTTGAAGGCCCTTAAACAGACTTGGCCATGCGGCGGTTCCCGTCAGTCCGGACTGACCAAATCATTCCTCATACTTGCCAATCATATATGTGTCTTTTAATAAGATACAGTGTAATACTTTGCAACTTATACAGGGCATGGTAAGGAAGAGTGGCAATCACTCTCAGCTGGATTCTGCAGCTAGAAATAGTTATGTGGCAAAGTTGGAAGAGGTGTTTTCTTCAAGCTTACCCTATTTCGTTGTATGTTATTAATACTTCGTGGAAGAGGCCATTCTTCATGGTTGTACAGTTTTTTTAATACCTGTAGCTCTAGCTACCTACTTCTTAATTACACATACAGTCGAACTGGATGTTTCTTTATCACCATGAATAAATACTCGTATCATGTACTTGGGGATCTTATACTTGTGAAATCAACAGTCTGAAATGCGAAAGCAGGACCTTCTTGCTGAAATACTGTTGGAGGATCAAAAGGGTAGGGAGCTTTCTAGGATTGTAACAGAAAATTCGGCACCACTGGTTAAACCATCACGAACAAGGAAGGTATGTGTTCTCTGGACTCAAATTAAAGGGCAGATTGTTGAGTTTTGGTGTTAAAGTGGTTGTCCCTCAACCCTAAAGACCCAATAGGCAACTTTACAAGTTTATAGTAGACTCAAGTCCACTAGACAACCAATGTAGACACTCCCACAGTCCAAGCCAATCTGCGCAACCAAAGGGGTGGACAAATGAGCTTAAACTTACCCCCAAATGGGCTGCCCAAACCATAGAGTGGGCAGACGTCTCACAAAACACTATCAGACCAAACTGTAGTACCTTGTTGAATTGGGTCTAACTTGCCCCAAAATGATCCTCCAAAGGTGAGGTTTACGTCACATGCTGTACTTAACCAACATGGAATGCTCAACAATTTTAGAGTGACCTTTTAAAATTTGATTGACTCTTGTATCATGGAGCAAACTGTAATTACTTACTGATTTAGTCTGTCTCTGTCCTAATGTTTTCTCCTACTGTTCTCCTCCTCTTATCCTAATGCTAACTATGGTTTCAATTCAATACATCCTTCAGAAGAGTAATGACCCAGGCACACTGTCTAGGCAACTAACTGATGAAGCTGAGAAATATTTTGAGGATTTCATTACAAATGTAGAAGATACAGATATATCTTCTTTTGATGGAGAAAGGAGTGATGGAAGCTCCACTTTAGGAGGGATGATGAAGGCATGGGATGGCATAGCTGACATGGAACCCAGAGCTTACCAGATTCAAGAAGGATCCAATATTCATCGAGGTGAAATGGATGGTGTTAATTTACCTTGGTTAAGGTGGGAGACGAGCAATGATGGCTCTTCCTCAGGCAAGGCTGAACTAAGGACTCCTCTTAGCCGAAAATTAGTAATCTGGGATGCAAAACAGGTAATTTTATTCATCGTCTTAATCCCAATCAATTTCTTACAATCAAGTTCACACTATACTTTCATGGAAAAAGAGAATGAAAGTCTTCCCACTTTTCAGGACCATAGTTGTTATTCCCCTAGCAGTCAGGGGAGTTACAGTCCTGCAATTATGAAATACCATGAAATTAGCAAGCTTAGTAAAAGAGTGGACAGTGAAGAAAACTACAAACGTGAAGTTCCTCCCAAGTTCGACATGCATGAGTATGTTATGCTTCAACAGAGTGAAGAAATGTTGTTTGAAAGGTATAGGGAGCGGAAAAGAATAAGCTCTGGGGGACTTCTATTAACTTGTACAAATGCTTTTAGTAATTTAATTTTATGATTTTTTTTGTTATGTAATTTATTAGGGCTAACCATACAAAGACTTCAATCTTCCCTAGCCTCTCGAGTCTCCACTCCGGATTTCAGTTTTACTTTGAAAAATAAAGAGATGCTCCGTATTAGTTGTTCTGATGATTTATTATTTTTCTCATGTCTAACATTTGATTTTAGAGTTGTGATTAATTAATTGTTGTACAATGCTAGTTGAATTACTCTAAGCTGAAGAAACTTATTTACATGTATAAGTTTTGTTTTTTTGTACATGAATTAAAATTTTGAGAGGCTTGTTTACATAATTACATGTATTAGTTTTTTTGTACATGAATTAAAATTTTGAAAGGCCCAAAGAATGATATAGAAGCAATAAAGAAAAAACTTATTTATTTTACACGTCAAAATGTATTGTGCCTTATTTTTTTTATATCATAAAAGAGCCGCTTTTATATTAAAATCGAAAACGCATACAAGACAATCTCAAGATAATTTTCAGACAGATTTTACAGATCCAATCATCTAATCGTGAACTCTAAGAGTAGATTCAGTTTCAGGCATCTCATACAAAGCAACCTGACCAGCTAAACCTGAAATAAGCAAATTTTTGCCTAAAATGAATTGAAACTCTGTCTATCAAAAGAATTCCAATCAGAAATTTAAACACAATCAAAACAACATGCAATTCGAAATCAAAACACAAATAAAATAAAACGGAATTAAAACATACTTCACTCGTTTTTCTTCTGAACCCTAGATTCCCCAGCTATTGATGACGGTAATTCAGGAGGGGGACGAGCCAACAATACTGTAGCTTCTTTCTCACCCTGCCCTTTATCTATAATGTTCTCTGTCAAGCCTCCACTTTCGTCACCAACTGTATTGTGCCATATTTATCAGTGGTTCCTTGTCGTGGAATTTAACATTTGAATTTTGAAATATACGAAGTATGAGGAATGTTCAGGTCCGAACATTCCTCGTCCGAGCACCGTCCAAACATGGACGTTTGGGCCACTTCCCGATAGAAATTTTTGATGTAATTTTTTGAGAATGTTCCTCATCAAGTCTAGTTTGTACATACCAAATTTCAGCTCAAAATTCGATCGGGAAGACATTCCAATCATTTTTTGAAGTTGACTGCGTCAAAATATACATATAAAACGCAGTCAACTTCAAAAAATGATTTGAATGCCTTTCTGATCGAATTTTGACCTGAAATTTGGTATGGACAAACTAGACTTGATGAGGAACATGCTAAAAAATTTCATCAAAAAATTGCACCGGGAAGGACCCCAAACGAGGATGTTCGGACGGAGGGTCCCGTCCGAACGTTCGGACCTGATCATTCTTGTACGAAGTATTATATACGGAGTACATAGAACCATAAAAATGCAATTTCTTATAGTCTCGTACAAGTGATTAATTATGTGAGTAGTTTTTAGTGATTACTACTCCCTCCGTCCCCATTTTACCTATCCTACTTTCCTTTTTGGGTTGTCCCAAAATAAATGTCTTTGGAATAAAAACATTTTGGTTCCAAAGAGGCTTAGAAAACTACTCTTCATTTCCAGCTGTCAAAAACTACTTTCCCCTTCCAAGTTGACATTCAAAGTACGACATTTAACATATGATAGTCTTTTTGCAGGTCCTATGATGTTTTTGAACATGATAATAATGTTCATGTCTTAAGAGCATTTGATGGGAATGGGACATGCAATGCAAGTAAAGAATGATTTTCTAGTAGTTTACTCATCTACTTTTCATTTAAGATAACTGGCTGAGATAAAACTATAATTGTTTGGTATTTTGTAATATTAAGTGACAAAAATTGCATGAGCTGCAGATTATCATTAGGGATTAGCTATGAAGAGACCTATTGTTGCATAGATGCTTCCATGTTTTTAAAATCAAAGAACTTGTTGTAGCAGGTATCTTCTTTTCTTAGGCTTATAATCATCTATGTTCATTTTCTTTTCTCCTTTTGGTAGTTTATACGGAGTATTTGTGTACTTCGAGTATATATATGCATACAAATGTATACATATGTATGTGTTTGCGTGTGTGTTTTATGTGTGTATATATATATATATATATATATATATATATATATACATAAATGCCATTATGTATACGTATATAAATATATACTGATATTCTTGCTTATTGAAGACTGGAAATTTTAAGTGAAAGAGAACACTCATTGCTGCATAGATGATTGCTTCTTTGCCAAAACAAAGAACATGCACCACGTCCATGCTTTTGCTTCTTTTGATTGTACTTCTAAAGTTTTATGCCCATTTTTTTCTCCTTCTGGTCGTTACTTTCCTTTCGGTGTATATTTATTAATATATATGATATTCTTGCTTGTTGTAGGCTCAAAACTTAAATGAAACATAAGAGAGAAAGGATTGAGTGTTCATTTGAGATGAGGGTGCAAGTGCTTATAGGGAATGATTAATGATCCTTTCATATGAAGTTTCACTTGTCCCAAGAAACAGGCTGGCCATATTTGATATGTTGAATATTTTATGTTAAATTTCAATAGTTCAATTTTTGTTATGTAGACATGCCCCAAAGTCCAAGGCACACATGCTCAACCTTTAGTGTTTAACTTTGTACTGTTTAACTTTTTAATGCCCAACTTTTACTTTTCAACTTGTACTCTGTATTAATTAATTTTTGTTCTTTGTACAAAGATTCTCATCTCATGAACACTATTCCCAAAAACATTTTGCTTTTATATAATGATAGATAATAATAATAGTAATAATAATAATATTTTTGTTATTAATCTATAATGATAGAAATCTACAATATTAATAATAATAATCTAAAATAAGTAGCAGTTGACCATGCTTTTCCAACTCATGCACCCTATATATATGGTAAACCTATAACCTTATTAATGCACATTCAATGACACAAATCTAATGGCAAGGATGGTTTAACCTTTAATAACAATAATAATTCTATCAATAATAATATATATAATAGTAATAATAAGAATAAATATTGATATCCATAGGAATATAAAGTATCTATCTATAAGAATATAAAGTAGCAAGGTGTGAATCTATATTTGGCAACAAAATTTCTTTATAAGAAAATTTTTCGCATAAATGTAGCAACTAAGTGTCTTCTAGTATAGTAACTACTTTTATGTTTATATTTTGTGACAGTTCTCGAAACGAGAGTAAAAAAGTTTGAAATTTTCAAAATAGGATTGCCATGTTTTTATTCCCAAAATAGGAGTAATTTCTGTCAAGTTTGAAAATAGTGCCATGTTTAAATTCTGGCACTGCCCAAACATGATAGTAATTAGTCATATTTTGGGAATAAAAACATGTATGATAGTCCTATTTTGTATTATACAAATGTTTTTAGCCCTATTTAGGAAAATTTCCTTTTTACCTATGTTTGATAGACCTAATAAAATCTTTTTTTGTTAAGAGACTGATATTCTCTGAGCCAATTTTAAAATAGTAAACTTGAAAGTATTAATACATAGTATGTATAATTCGATATTGATTATAAATTTGCAAGACTCGTAGTATGCACAACCTGTAGAGCTATATATCTTTGATACCAATAGCGTTTTTTTTTGTAAATGTTTTCATGCAACTAACACACTGGTAAATGATCTAGTAAACAACTGAAGAAACAAAAATCTAAAAAACTTTCGGCCGATTATATTATCTAGGTATGCACATTTAATATAAAATGTTATGCAAACAACAATTGAATTTCATTATTAGCTGATATAAGATGGCATCATGATGACAACAAAGGAGTATCAAATAGTGACAAAATGTCATAAGAAGCCATTTTATAGTGACAAATTTGTGTTTCGTAACAATTATTAAACAAAATGTATCAATTGTGTCAGAAAACGTACGACTTCTTGTAGTGTTTTACATTTTATCATATTGTGAATGCATAAAAATAAATTTAAAACAAGAGTGGAAGTACAATTTAATATTACAATCGGATTTTGAAGATCTTCTGTTCCAGCTGCTTTATACGTAAATTATTCAGAATCAAATTTTCTTTGATTCTGAACAATTTATGTATAAAGCAGTTGGAGCAGCAGATCGTCGAATTGGATTGTAATATCAAATTAAATATTATTAACATTTAATACTCCGTTCAAGTTACTCACTTTATTGTTTGAGGTTGTTCGCATATTTATTTATAAAGCTATAAAGCATCTTTGATTTTCGATGTGGGAAGTAAATGGGAAAATGAAAAGCTCTATAATGTCAAGAAAATATTCTTTATCGCATTTATTCCTTTCTGTTTTGTGTTTCTCTCTTTTTTCCTATCCCTCACATACCCCTTCTATTCTTCATTTCACTTCATTCGCCATCTTATTTTGTATCTCTCTAGTTTCATGAAATAGAAACCAAAATTAAAGCTACAAAAAACTACTTTCTTCTTGTATTTATCTCCATCCTGCTTGACTAATTTATTTGTAATATTTAAACCAGATGCCACCGTCTTTTTTCTTTACCGGCATCTTCCAATATAATCTCTCTTCAACACCATTTTCTCCAACGCGACTTTCCTCCTCTTCCATCTACAGTATGTGTACTTGATGTAGGGGTTTTAATTAGAAAATTAAATTTCAAATCATTGCGTAATTATTCACACCATTCCTCAAGTCAATTCACTTTGTACGTATGTTTACCAACACACTAAATATTTTTTTATTACTAAATTAATTTTGTGAACACACAATGTGCCCAAAATGAACTACATTGGCGAAGGGTTATTCTAGTTATAAAACAATGATCAATTCTTTTTAGAAGAGAAAATTAGCATGTTTAGTGTGTTATAGTAAAATTACATAGACATGCTATCTAATGAGAACATTAGCATATTTATAAAACTGACTCATTGTGTTCTTCGAGATGAATGATATATTTTTGGCAACCCATAATACAAATTAAACTCATAGTAACATTCATGAATTCCACGAATTTTTAACATTTCATCCTCACGTGGCTAGCAATATAAAATCTACTTGTACAGTTGTACCTAATATTTAATTTATTGTAGAGGTCAATTGGAGGAACATACATTTTGCTTGACCTACAAAAAGAATAATGAAAAAAGGTCTTCTCACCCGGAGGTGTTCGAAACTGATTCTGCTTCTGCTTAATAATAATAATAATAATAATAATAATAATAAACAATAATAACAATCATCATCATAATATTTCTGTTAATTATCTATA